TGCTGAGTGTGTGGCTTCTAAGCCAGGTGCAAACAAACGTGTGTGTGGTGGCAAGACTCTATGCCTTCTGTAGTCTACAACTTGGTGCAAGAAAAACACTTTGTTACTCGTCATTTTCATTTTCATTTTCATTTTCATTTTCATTTTCATTTTCTTTTTTTTTCTTTTTCATTTTTTTTTGCAATATTCAATTTTCTGTAATAAAACCTCCATCACCTCCAAGAAGCTGGCACTCTTCCAGTCATTGTTCATGGACATTTCATTACACACACCCGGCCTACAGGCAGATTTTCCCATGAAGCATGTTCATATCACTCACCACTCGGGCCAGATTTTGGATCTGGATCAAAGGGGTTAAGATATACATTCACAGTTTGTAGTATTACTAATAATCCCATTCTGACCCTGGCCTATGATGATTTTGTAGAGCATATTAATATATCAGCTGAAATACACATAAACAAATGTATCAAAAACCATAATAACCGAAATGATAAAACACTTTTCAGATGATTTTCATTACATCACATAGACTGAACAATTTATTTATGCTTTATATTGCTCTCAAAGTTGCATATGAGACCCCTCCTCCTTATTGTTCTCTTGATTTATTGGTTCCATTAGGAAACTCTAGAGTTACATAGTCCGAGACTTCACCCCATATTGACAGTTGACATCTAATCTTGCCAAAGTGAGCCAGGGCAGAATGCCAGTTGGCAAGGGTAGGCACTGTATGTGATCTGCCATAAATACTTTTGCTTGTTTGCCTCTGGGCACAGCAGTTCTTTAGCTGAAGTCCCTTAACCCGACACCAACCGATATCGGAAATCCTTGAGTTTCATAAACTCTGGGGATTTCTGGCAACATCCAGACACTGGGAGTGGGAGTCCCCCATTTGTTGTGAAAGTTCCCACTCCACACGTCTGGTGCGTCGCTGGGTGTACAGACATACTCCACAGACTAAGCAGTATGTTGTGATGCTTGTACATGTAACCCATCCGTAAAAGGGTAAAATGTGGGGCCAAAGCCATGTTTTTGTCTCAGATGCTAGAAAATTGTGAACTTGAGCGACTAAACGTGTGCAATCTCAGACACGCCACTTGGTTCAGCAGGAGGAAAGCCATCAACAATGGGTTAAAAACTTCAACTTGTTAATTTACATACCAAAAAGTAATGACTACAGTAACCATTACGAAAATGGCTCAAAAAGTACCATCTGTACCTCTGTACCTCTAGCAGTACTCGCCCCAAAAATAGTACAATTAGACAGAAAGTATAATACCACTAATATTCATAGCTCTGCCATCATCTTTTTAGATTGTATCATATAGGATACCACCAACAGTTTTGGAACTGCTGGTGGTATCTTATACATAGCACTTGGGGAAATAGGCACTTTCTAGTTAAAATTTGGAAGAAGAGAACAACATTAAACTCTCCAAGTACTCATACAGCTACCTAACATTGATTATTTCAACATTTCTGATAAATATGAGTTTAAATAGAGTTGTCCAATAATATGCTCATTTAACATGGGCATATTACCTCAATGAATCATAAATTGGGAGATAAAATATTATGAAGGCACTGGTAAAGCTAGATTAATTTCTTATAGAAAATAGGAAGAAAAATAAAAATGAAAAATAATAAAGAAAATTACTGTTAATTATTGACTATTCCAACTTTTCTGATAAAGGTAAGCTTAAATAAGGTAATCCAATAGTATCTTCAATTTAACATGTTCATATTACCTCAATGAATCATAAATTGGGAGATAAAATATTATGAAGGCACTACTAAAGCCAGATTAATTTCTTATAGAAAACAGGAAGAAAAATAAAAGTGAAAAATAATAACGGAAATTATTGTTAATACTAAAAAAGACTTAGTATGTTACTATTATACACAAACATACATTTTTCTCTATATATTGACTCGGGTACATTTCTCTTTCTCTCTTAATTCCTCACACATGCACTCACTCATTCATTTATGCATTCACCCTCACACTCACATTCACCCACTCACTTAGTCAGTCATTCACTATCCCTTTTTCTTTTTCTCCCTCCCTCTGTCTCTCTGTCTCTCTCTCTCTCTCTCTCTCTCTCTCTCTCTCTCTCTCTCTCTCTCTCTCTCTCTCTCTCTCTCTCTCTCTCTCTCTCTCTCTCTCTCTCTCTCTCTATCTCCCCCACTCCCTATCTCCCTATCTCCCTCTCTCTCACCCCCCCTCCCTATCTCCCTATCTCCCTCTCTCTCTCCTTCTCTCCCTCTCTTCCTCTCTCCCTCTCTTCCTCTCTCCCTCTCTTCCTCTCTCCTTCTCTCCCTCCATCCCTCCCCCCCTCTCTCCCTCTCTCCTTCTCTCCCTCCATCCCTCTCCCCTCTCTCCCTCTCTCCTTCTCTCCTTCTCTCCCTCCATCCCTCCCCCCCTCTCTCCCTCTCTCCTTCTCTCCCTTTCTTCCTCTCTAACTTTTTCTCACTATTTCTCCATGTCTCCCTTTTTCTCACTATTTCTCCATGTCTCCCTTTTTCTCACCATCTCCCTTTCCCTTTTTTTCACCATCTCCCTTTCACCTTTTTCTCACCATCTCCCTTTCTCCTTTTCTCTCCCCCTTCTCTACCTTCTCCCTCCCTCTCTCCTTTCTCTCTCCTTCTCTCCTTTTGTTCTCCTCTCCTTTTGTTCTCCTCTCCTTTCGTTCTCCTCTCCTTTCTCTCTCCCACTCTCCTTCTCTCCTTCTCTCCTTTCTCTCTCCTTCTCTCCCTGTCTCCTTTCTCTCTCCCTGTCTCCTTTCTATCTCCTTCTCTTCTGTCTCTCTCCCTCTCTCCTTTCTCTCTCTCTCTCTCTCTCTTTCCTTTCTCTCTCCCCCTGTCCTTTCTCTCTTTTTCTCTTCCTCTTTCTCTCAATCATGCACTCATTCAATCTATTGCATTCATTCTCTTTTCCTTTCTCCCTCTCCATCTCTCAGCCACTCTCTCTTTTTTTCTTTCTCAATCTCCCTTTCTCCATCCTTCTCTTCTTCTTTCTCTCCCACTCTCTCCTCCCTCTCTCTCCATCTCTCTCTCTCTCCATCTCTCTCCATCTCTCTCTCTCTCCATCTCTCTCTCTCTCCATCTCTCTCTCTCTCTCTCTCTCTCTCTCTCTCTCTCTCTCTCTCTCTCTCTCTCTCTCTCTCTCTCTCTCTCTCTCTCTCTCTCTCTCTCTCTCTCTCTCTCTTTCTTTCTTTCTCTCTCTCTCTCTCAGTGTATCTCTTTCACAGAAACTTATATATTCCCACACAATTCCACATTCACTCACACAATCTTGCCCTCACTCACAAAATCTAACCCATACACCAAATTGTCATCCGACTGCTAATGCACATTATTACCCACACACTTAGTTACTTCTTCAGTCTTTTACTCCTATGATACAGTTACATTGCCCATAAATTAACTAAATCTATTCATTTTTAAAGGACTTTGCCCATCTATCCACTGCACTGTAATGATAGGAACCCATCCATCCCTGGATTAGAGGTCATGTTGCTGATAACTTGTATCTCTTGAATGAATTTGTTTCCTAAATTGAAAGTATCAAAATATACTTTCAATTGATAAAAAAACAATAGTTATGTACCCACAACTGTGTGCATCTATATCAATATTTCAACTTCTATACAGAGAACAATAATATAAAATCAACCAAACCATCAATCCATTGGACAATGTTTTTCACACCAACAAGAAAAATGTGAAACTCAAAGGCTATTCACAATCTTTTAAAGTAGCAAGATGGAGGTGTTAAAAAGTAGCAAAAGTCATGAAGATGAGCACTTTGTCCATGTCTTCTTTTACCAGGCAATGTCAGTGAACTGGGTCAGTGGTTCTCAATGTAAGTGTAACCTCCAACCCATTTGGAATCTATAGATTTTGACAAAATCTATGGGCAGTGTTACCATCCTTTACACTCGCTCTATCAATAAATATATAGTCAAGCTCTTTGTAAGTAAGCAGATCATGCAAAATAAAATATACTTCAAAATATTTTTCATATAAAAAATCAAGAAAAAAAAATAGTAATAATGACAGTAAATAAAAGCATTATTTGCAAGAAGAGCTACTGCATAAAGCTATAAAGAAATGCAGCCTTTTCCACAATCAGTGATTCATTGCAATATCTAAGAAATTTGTTTTATAACAGTAAACTAGTTGCAAATTAATTATTCACACTTACACTTTACATAAAAGGATGAGGATCTTCTAGTCCCTGATGAATACTAAAAATCTAAAAAGACTGGTCATTCCTTAAATGGGACAAATACATTATACCTTGGTAACTTTTTTTGTTATAATGCTTCTCTCTATGAAATGATGGACACATGTCATGTTATACATTTTTTTTAAATAAACCAAATGAAAATAAAAAGTTCACACATTAAAGAGTATAAGTATTACTGTCATATCTGAATTTTTTAATTTGAAATGATATTACCTAGAAAAATCTAACTACTTCTGGTAAACGCATCATCATCTCTCAATCTTATTTAATATATCCAACATCAACCATAATAATACAATAGTAGTCTAAGCTCATATCTTATCTTTTATTATAGGAAATGAGAAATGTAAACAGCTTAGCTGATTAAGGTACTAGGACACTGTTTCATTAAGGAAAAAAGAGCAACGGAAACATATTTTTTGGAGCCACCAGAATAACTATACCTGTAGTTTTACATTTATTTTTTTCCTTCTGTAACTTTTCTGATTTTACAGTTCCATCTTTTTGAAGAACCTCTTTACCCCCATCAGTTATTTATTAAGTCAAAAATGCTAGTAAGCTTTAGAAGCAAGCGCACCTTTCCTATTGTTGACCGTCTTGCCTTGAACCAGGTTTTGGTGCAGTGAGGAGTCGGAGCTTGAACGAGAGAGCACTTCAGGAGGAGGTGACAGCAGGGTGGGGTGGTAGTGGAGTCGAGGTGGGGTCACCACTTGTTGTGGATGATGATGCTGCTGCATCTGTGGGGACACAGCTATCCGGTGTTGCATGCTCGGGTAGATTTCCTGCTGGAGGTTGCTAAGGTCTTGCATTGCACCCTGGAACATATGACATACAGTTATGTGGATGGTACATATATACAATTCACATTTTCTATGAGCAAAGATACATGTCTTAATATGTTTATGCCAATTACCTCTTAATAGTTTATAATGAATTATGAAATAGAAAAACAAACAAACTATAATTCAAGAGATAGTAAACTTAAGATAGAATTAAAAAGAAATATTTTTTTCCTTCTGTAACTTTTCTGATTTTACAGTTCCATCTTTTTGAAGAACCTCTTTACCCCCATCAGTTATTTATTAAGTCAAAAATGCTAGTAAGCTTTAGAAGCAAGCGCACCTTTCCTATTGTTGACCGTCTTGCCTTGAACCAGGTTTTGGTGCAGTGAGGAGTCGGAGCTTGAACGAGAGAGCACTTCAGGAGGAGGTGACAGCAGGGTGGGGTGGTAGTGGAGTCGAGGTGGGGTCACCACTTGTTGTGGATGATGATGCTGCTGCATCTGTGGGGACACAGCTATCCGGTGTTGCATGCTCGGGTAGATTTCCTGCTGGAGGTTGCTAAGGTCTTGCATTGCACCCTGGAACATATGACATACAGTTATGTGGATGGTACATATATACAATTCACATTTTCTATGAGCAAAGATACATGTCTTAATATGTTTATGCCAATTACCTCTTAATAGTTTATAATGAATTATGAAATAGAAAAACAAACAAACTATAATTCAAGAGATAGTAAACTTAAGATAGAATTAAAAAGAAAGAAAGAAAAAAACTTTGCAAATAAATCTAAAACAATAATATGCAAAACCATCAACTAGATCAGTTTTTAGCCAAAAATTTTAATTTGAACAAAAACTTGAAGGAACACTTACCACTACCAATGTGACTCAGGTACATACATGTAATTGGCTACTCCAAGACAGATAGGGCAAACAGCTTGAGAACAATCATTCCTAACTACTGAAAAAACTACAATCTATGGTTTTACAACATCCTACTGTCAACATCAAAATTTAATCCTAATAAACCAAAGAGACATACCATTGCCTACTTCAAGCAAATCTGCCTCAAAACACCTGATAATATTCCATTTCTTAAGAAATATCCATGAAACATATGAGTAAGCTGTTTTCCATTACTGTCTTGTTAGGAACAGTGACAAAAAAACTATAAAAATGAAACAACAAACTCCTTCTGCATTGAATCCTATTACACATATATACATATCAAAGTTCAAGTGTTTAGTACAAGATTAGCTCAATAACCAATACTGGCAAAAACAAACTGAATTTCATCTTTACAATGTAACATGCCATTTATTCAAATTCAATATTAATAAAGTTCATTCACATTAACATAATTTAATTTAAAACAGATCAATATTATTGAGAATATTAAAACTAACATCTCTCATTGCATAAGTATTCTTGAAGGTTCTTTCATCATTAACACAAAAATTATATGATTGATAATGGCCTAGCTTGGGGATTTTAACCATTATCTTCACCTCTCTGAAAAAGTACTTTTAGTGTGTAGGTCATACAAAATTACAAGACCACATGCAATTATTTCTCAATCAATATATACTACTGTTTATCAGTGAGCATCCAATGTCTAAAATAACCAAGGTATCCAGATAAACTTAATTTTTAACTCACAGCAAACTCAGATGAACAAAAACAAAAGGAAAATGTGAAAAATCAACACTACCCTTTCATATAATTTTCAACATAACTCCCATATTGAAATTAAAATCTAATAAACCCAAAAAAAAATCAAAACAAAAGAGAAACAAGATATCAGTAGAATGAACCTAGTTGCATTTAATAACTAGTTGGAATCAACACCTATCAGATGTCAGCATCTAAGTTCTGGAGCCTCTCCATGGTGAATCCAATATTTGAGAGTATTAGTTGCAATTACTGGTGCAGTTTAGAACCCTTTACCAAGGCTACAGGCAGAATGTGAAGAGACACACAACAAGGTGATTGATCGCACAGGGGCGGATCCAGAACCAAGACTGTAGTTTCCTTTAAAAGTGGAAACTACAAATATTAATCAAGAATGGAAAGTTCAATGGTCTATTACAAAGAAATGGGTAGCAAATTAGCTTGCCCCCAGGAGGATCCGCCACTGCCACATGTTGGAGCAACAACACTGGAAAGTTAAAACAGCCAGGTAGCAGCATCTTGTCGAGGCTCCATGACAGTGCGAGAGGTCATGATGAGTGTCCTACAACTGTTATGAAAAGTCTACAAAACAGCAGCAACTTTACCTGGAGTGTCCCCTGCTGGTAGAATTCTGGCCCCCTACCCTGCTGTAAAGCAAGGAGTATTTTGTCATGAGAAAACTCATATCTGTACAAGATGGCTAGGAAAAACAAGAAATAGTTCACACAAGTAATAGGTAGTAAGAAGACTTTGTTTCTTAACCTGAACTTGAATGTATGACTTTCAAGAATTGTATCATTTGGTATTATTCCTCTCCTTGTATGAACTAATCTATTGTTTATAACCACAGAGCCATGGTTATCTAAGGAGCTTAACAAGCAACATAATCATAATCAATTTCACCCATCATGTGGTCAAGAAAAAAGTTGCATTATTGACTCTACATGCAAGCTTAAACTAAACACCATAACAATAGTCCACAAAACTATTTGCAGGGATCATCTTAAACAACTAGAACGTTTTTTAATTTTCTGCAATGATGATATATCCTAAAATGAATTTCCTTGACCACTTGTCAGGTCATAATTTTAAAAAATAAACACCATTATCGAAACTGTTCATGCTAACCAGTCAAAGGAACCTCTTCAACTGGAAATCTCCAATGTTTTTTTTTAAATCAGAACTCTACTTGATTCCCAGCTGATATATCTTTACTAAAACTTTTTTAAATAAAGGGCTCGGGAGGAGATCTACAGTCTGAGGTAAAAGAAAAAGGACACAAGGAGTAAATCAAAACATGTCGGGCAAAATTAGTTATGAGAATCTATATATATTTTATTCATGTTTGTCCTTCATCAGGGTACAGCTATTAACACAGTTACAATAGGCCTTTCCTACTTTAACAAGCACAGTTTGAAAAATAACCAATAAAAAAAAAAAAAAAAAAAAAAAAAAAAAGGTTGACAGAGCATCAAACACTTTCCCAACTGCTGTAGTTCAAATCACTAACTATTCTATTCAGGAACAATGCCTTTGATACCTGCATTAATTGGAATGCATTAAAGCAAAGCAATTCCTATGTACCAACCACTACAAAAATTTCATGGAAAAAGGGAAATTATATGCAAAATAGGTTAACTAATGGCTCTAATATAAATGCACCATTTTATGTATCAAATAATTCTTTGTAGCTAAAATTTGAAACCATTTACATAACTGTACACTACAAGATTTCAAGAAATGGATATTACTGAATGCAGAGATATAATAAAGTGAAAAGAAGTCTCCAAACTAAATGTTATAAAATAATTATAAAAATATATAAATATATAATACAATATTTACTTATAATTTATGTAAGTTTAACAAGGACAGGTTTATACTGCAAGCCAAAATTAAATAAAAATAGACACATAAATAAATAAAAGATATAAAACAAGATCATAATAACTGTTACTCAAGTATCTTATTTTTTAGTCCTGACCTTATACTGACTTAATCCAATGGTACCTGGTAATCACACTGTCTACTGTCATTTTCTTTTATGAAATTTGTTTGCACATAGATGGCTCCACACGTACTCTGCTACCGAAGAAACAATTAGTAAGCTTCCACTTCCTGATTATGTCTTTCCACAAGTTTACGGGAAAGAACATTCATTCTAATACTATTAATATCAATGTTGCTAATATTGCTCACAATAGGATTATTAACAATAATAATAGCAATGAAAAATAGAAAAAAAAACATGAAAATCAAGGAAAAGGGTAAACGGGTGATGAAGCACTTCTGGATCCATCCATGTGCAAAGACAATCAATAAACAAAGAGACCTTGGACATGACATCTATTCTTATCATACTGTCAACAATGGGTTGATACTTAACTTAACTGTACTTTAATCTATTATGACTTTATAATTTACCACTGTCCATTTATGACCCTCCTCTATCACTATCACCACAGATATCATCATCTTACCACTATTACAGAAAATATTTGTGTGTGTGTGTGTGTGGGGGGGGGGGGGTTCTGGGTAGGTGTGGGTTCTGGGTAGGTGTGGGTTCTGGGTAGGTGTGGGTTCTGGGTAGGTGTGGGTTCTGGGTAGGTGTGTGTGTGTTTTTGTGTGTATGTTTTTTTTTTGTGTGTGTGTGTTTCTCTGTATCTGTTGTGTCTGTCTCTGTTGTGCCTCTGTGTGTGTGTGTGTGTGTGTGTGTGTGTGTGTGTGTGTGTGTGTGTGTGTGCGTGTGCGTGTGCGTGTGCGTGTGCGTGTGCGTGTGCGTGTGCGTGTGCGTGTGCGTGTGCGTGTAGAGAGAAAGAAAAAGAAAGAAAGAAAGAAAGAAAGAAAGAAAGAAAGATAGAAAGAAAGAAAGAAAGAGAGATATACACAAACACACACATGTACTGTATAAACATATACCAACTTAATCATTCCTGCTTACCCGTGAAATTCTATTTCATTATCATTAATACTGTTAACCCATTAGACCAGGAGACAGAATTCACCAAAGGTCACAGACTCTGAAATTTGTCTTTGACAAAAAAAAAAAAAAAAAAGTTCTAGTTGCAAGAATGTCCTTAACACAATTTTCGTTTATGAACCGCCCAATGTTTAAGACAGGTCTTGAGGTGTCTCATATAAGAACTGTCTTTTAATTGTCCTCATGAGATGCTAACAACAATAATGCAATTTACAGTTGCTGAAGTCAACTACATATTAATAATGATCCTTCATGCCACTTTTTTACATATTGACAACATTAATTAAGCCATGAATATTGTAGTTTTCCCTTAGAATACAAATAGCGCACCATACATTTTCAGATGATGCAATCATAAAAAATGTAGAGGGTTCCAAGTAAATCTATAAAATATATTAGATATATATTATAGTTATTATATGCTTGAGATTTACTGTAACAGTAATTTTATTTCATAATTACATTGGATTATTGTTACAGGGTCTTTTAAAAGATAAATATTAGTTACAATTAAGTGTTATCTTATCTTTGAAATGTGGTAATCCTGCGAGACTAGACGAAATCACTAAAGACAGTCTTTAGATAGAGTCATTGACAAATTCTATGATGATCTTCAAGTCAAAGACTGTTTTTATAGACAGTCCTTAAATTTGTCATCCAAAATGTAACCTTTCATGAATACTGCCCCAGGTGCCTCATACCCCAATTATGGACTAAAATTCAGGCTTTTGGCTTACTTGAGTAGCAACTCTCCTTGGTATGTGGATTGTAAGCCCATCCTAATACTAATTGCTTCCATTTTGCAATATTATTATCTCTTTCTCTGCATATGTGTTTTATACATTTTTGCCATTTTCCAAGGTCTATATCTTTCACTTTTTTCATGATGACTGCTACTTTCCATCACCCTAGCCCACTGGCAAATTTTTCCATGATGGAATATTTCTGTCACTAAGCAATCAGCCTAACTTTAATCATGACATAAAAGTCATATCACCTAAATCCAATGTTAACCCGTTGGATTTGGGTGATGTATGCTATATTAATAATGATGATAATAAAAAACAAGACTTCATAAAAATACTAATCATAGAGGATATTATATATGTTTTTCTGTAAATTCTACTTCTAATAGGGTAATCAAGCAAGGTCTGGTAGGTCTAGTAAACATTTCTTTGGTAAATAAGTGATTGTATAAAGCTGTCTGCATGTAAACAATACTACAGTGCATGTACCCAGTGATAATGTTCAGAAAAAAAATTACTTCAAATGTTACTTTTAATTCATTTAAAAGATTTGATGTGAATTTTGTTGTTCCTTATTTTTAAGAAGAGCTATCAATTAACCTCCAAAAGGTAAAAAATCTAATTGACAATATAGGAAGGACTGATGAAGACAGGGAGTACCTAATTTTGCCTGACATCATGGTACTGATTTTAGGTAACAATATCTGAAATATTAGATTTTTAATACTATTTTTGCATTTGTGACCACACTTTTTTTCTTTTTTTCTTTTTTCTTTTTTTTTGCATGTATGTGTATGTGCGTGTGCATGTGCATGTCATTGTGCACGTGTGCATGTATGTGTGTGCATGTGCATGCATGCCTATGCACGTATGCATGTGTGTGTATGTGTGTGTGTGCAAGTGTGTATGTGTTTCTGAGTGCATGTACTTCTGTGTGCATGCGCATATGTTTTGGTATGTGTATACTTGTATGTCTCTGCATGTGTGTTAGCTTGTGTATGGCTGCAAGTGTTTGTGTATATGTATATGCTTGTGTATGGTTGCATGTGTTGGCATGTGTGCATGTGTATGGTTGCATGTGTTGGCATGTGTGCATGTGTATGCTTGCATGTGTGCGTGCATGTGTATTTGTTTGTGTGTGTATGTGTGTGCACATGCTTGTGCATGGATGGGTGTTTGTGCATGGGTGGGTGCTTGTGTGTGGGTGGGTGCTTGTGTGTGGGTGGGTGCTTGTGTGTGGGTGGGTGCTTGTGTGTGGGTGGGTGCTTGTGTGTGGGTGGGTGCTTGTGTGTGGGTGGGTGCTTGTGTGTGGGTGGGTGCTTGTGTGTGGGTGGGTGCTTGTGTGTGGGTGGGTGCTTGTGTGTGTGTGGGTGCTTGTGTGTGGGTGGGTGCTTGTGTGTGGGTGGGTGCTTGTGTGTGTTAGTGCATGTATGCTTGTGTGTACTTGCATATGTGTGCTTGTGTGTATGGGTAGGTGCTTGTGTGTGTGTGTGTGTGTGTGTGTGTGTGTGTGTGTGTGTGTGTGTGTGTGTGTGTGTGTGTGTGTGTGTGTGTGTGTGTGTGTGTGTGTGTGTGTGTGTGAGTGAGTGAGTGAGTGAGTGAGTGAGTGAGTGAGTGAGTGAGTGAGTGAGTGAGTGAGTGAGTGTGCAAATCTCTAACAGTACAAGTATCTGTGTGCATGTACCAAACAAAGGAATAACCATAACAATATTTTGTATAAAAATTTATGTTTTCATCAAAACAAAATAAAGACACTCATACAATGAAGCATCATCTTTTAATAGAAGCTTAAGCTACATCTCAGGCTACCATGACAGGACTTAAGGATGCTTTGTACATGCCATTTTATGCAACGTCTGATTTCATATACGGGGTTCTACATACCGGCAAATTGACTGAGAAGTTGGGCAGTGAGCCTCCTTGAGTGGGCCGTGATGCATGTTGCTGCTGCTGGGGGTGCTGCTGCGGGTGCTGTTGGTGCTGTGGGTGCTGTTGGTGATGTTGATGAGAGGGCTGTGGCTGCAAGTGCTGCTGGGCTTTAGGCCGGCTGCAAGTCTTCTGCTGCAAAATATACCAAATGTCCTCAACTGCTGACTACAGTGACTGGTCCATTCTCAGAACTACCAGTTGTACTATATACTGTTGTATATGTTTGATCTAATTCTTACACATGCATAATAACTTGGGGGAACAGTGCACATATGGTAACTAGGATTGTCCTTTTTTCATGCTTTAACTAAAATGCCATGATAAATTTTAAAGTCTATGATATATCTACTGCTAATATACATTTTTATTAGTAAGAGAATATATATAAATATACACCATAAGTATCATGTTATGAAATATTCTCCATTAAGCATTTCAGGTAACTCAAACACTTTCCATTTTGATATAAATCAATTTCACTTACTTGAACCATCTAATTTTTTCTCCCCAAACAGTTACAAATATCTTTTTTCTACTTTTACTTTAGTTTAGCTTCCACTTCATTAGGATGTTGTTAACCCAATGGTGCCGGGGAAAATGAACAAAAAATGGGGAAAATATTGTGCCCACTTTCTATGTTTTTCGTGAAATGTCTGCCGATAGATGGCTCTGCTAGCGCCTGATTTAAATGGCGGGGAAAACGTATTTTTCACTAGTGCTATGAAAATCGATGGTGTTATTTTTATCATAAACATTATAATTTTTATTTTTTTTTTCAATATTAGTAACAGCAAAATAAGATTACATAAAATATTTTGTAAATCAAAGAAACGGGTAAACGGGCAAGACGGTCGGTGCTCGTAACTGGCTCATTGGGGAGTTAGTACAAGTGTTGCCATCTATGCGTAAAAACAATCAAACAAGTACTCACTGTGGGCATAGCACGTACGTACACGTCATACCCGGCACCAAGGGGTTAATTATCAGATCTGGGATAAAAATCTCTGCTAATAAAAGGTGCACAAGGTATGTTTCAAATCAATAAAGGAAAATAAGCAAAGCACTGAAATTACTACCTAATGCTATGGTGCTTTGGATATCTTACTAAAGGAAAGCTTGTAGCATTTATTTCACTGGTACTCTTATTCTAGTTTAAGTTATAATCTCATAACAATAATATAAATATTTAGATTTTTCATGTAAAAAAAAAAATCCATAATAAAAATGTACAGACAGCTATCTGAAAATTAAATAAGTAAACAATTATCCAATCAAATTCAGGTTATGAGTTAAATGTCAGCCCATCATCATAATGAAATAAACAGACTGTCCAAGTCTCAACTAGTCATGTTCTTCATGTTTGTTGACTACTGTCAACTAACAAGCCTGAAAATGGCCAAGAACAGAGTTATCGGTACCATGCTTGACTCAACTAGCCAGACAGATATAATATGGAGCTATAACATGGTATTTGGCCAGCTAGTATTCCTTATTCTACCTTTTGTGTCCTGCCAACTACCTAGTGAGCAGAATATCAATGATGGGCGGAAAAGATGAAAACAATAATGGAAAAAAAATGAGAATCAATCAAACAGCCAATCAAACACTAACCAAGGTATACCAATTACCAACCAGCACATCTACCCACAGTATATCTCCTCATCCAGCAAGCTATCAATACACATCCATTTTAGCCATCCATCTAACTTGCATCCACAGACAACCAGCAAGAAAACACATACAATATTGCAATCAATCACTGCTTTAATGATCCATTTGAGTGATTATGATCATCACAAACACCAACAAAGGCAACAACATTATCTGGAAACTATAACATATTCCTGAACCACTTTTCCATTTATAATAAATGAGCTATTAGTTCAATAAATGAAACAAAATTAACAGCAATAATAATAAAAACAGTACCATAATAATAACAATAATAATAATATTAATGATAATAATAATAATAATAATAATAATAATAATAATAATAATAATTAGAATAATTAGAATAATAATATTAACAATAATAATTAAAAAATAACAATATCAGCTACAACAATGATAATAATAAGCATAACAACAACAATAATAATAAAACAATAATGGTGATGGTGAATATAATAATAAAAATAATAAAAATAACAATAATAATAATAATAATAATAATAATAATAATAATAATAATAATGATAATAATAATAATAATGATAATAATAATAATAATGATGATGATAATAATAATGATAATAATAATAAACAAACAACAATCACAAAAACAACAACAAAACAACAACAATAATAATAATAATAATAATAATAATAATAATAATAATAATAATAATAATAATAATAATAATAATAATAATAATAATAATAAAAATAATAATAATAATAATAATAAAGATAATAATGATGATAATAATATTAATATTAATATTAATAATAATAATAATAATAATAATAATAATAATAAAGATAATAATGATGATAATAATATTAATATTAATAATAATAATAATAATAATAATAATAACAATAATAATAATAATAATAATGATGATGATTACTATTATTATTATAATCATAATAATAATAATAATAATTATTATTATTATTATTATTATTATTATTATAATAATAATAATAATTACTATAATGATAATTATTATTATTATTATAATAATAACAATCTTAACAATAATAATACAAAAATATTAGCTACAATAAGGATAATAATAATCATAACAACAACAATAATAATAAAACAATAAAGATGATGGTGAACATAAAATAAAAATAATAAAAAGAAATAGATAAATAAATAATAATAATAACAATAACAATAACAATAACAACAATAACAACAACAATAATGATAATGATAATGATAATGAAAGTAATAATAAAATAGTAGCAATAATAAAATAAAAATAAGAATAATTTCAATAATGATAATGATAATGATAATGATAATAATAAAACTAAAAATAAAAATGATAACGATAATAATAATAGCAATGACAACAATAAGAACACTAATAGTAATGATGATAATAATAATGGTAATAAAAATAATGATAATGATAGTAATGATCTTGAACTTAACCCTTTCCCGACGGGGAAAATGAATAAAAAATGGGGGAAATTCTGAGTTCATTTTTTATATTTTGTGAACTGTCCCTGTTAGTGCTTAGCCATAAAGGATTTCACTTTTCCTTGAATTGGTGCAAAAAACGTATTTTTACTTGTGCTATAAATATAGATGGTGTTATTTTTATTATAAACATTATAATTACTAAAATGTTAGAAACCTTTGTAACAGCAAAATGAGATAACGTTAAATATTTTCGTAAATCAATGAAAAGGGTGAACGGGCGAGACAGGCAGTACTTGTAACTGGCTCATTGGTGATTTAGTACAAGTGTAGCCATCTACGTGTAAAAACAACAACAATAATAATAAAAAATAAATAAATAAATAAAAAATAAAAAATAAAATAATAATAATAATAATAATAATTATCATTATAATAATAATAATAGTTATAGTAATAGTAATAGTAAGAGCAAGAGTAATATAATAATAATAATAATAATAATAATAATAATAATAATAATAATAATAATGGTTAATGGTTAAAAGCAAAATAATGTGGTAGACACCTAGTTACATAGCACTACAGGATGGTATGGAGGAGGGGGGGGAAATAAATTAAATAAATAAAATAAATAAAATAAATAAATAAATAATAATAATAACAATAGTAATAGCAATAGTAGCAGTAATAATAATAATAATAATAATAATAATAATGATAATGATAATGATAATGAAAGTAATAATAATAATAATGATAATAATAATAATGAAAAACCAAAACAATAAAAACAACAACAACAACAACAATGATAATAATAATAATGATAATAATAATAATGATAATAATAATAATAACCATAATGATTATAATAATAATAACAATAATAATAATTAGAAGAATAATAAAAAAAATAAAATAAATAAATAAATAAATAAATAAATAAATGATAATAAAAATAGAAATAGAAATAGAAATAGAAATAGAAATAAATAGTAGCAATAATAAAATAAAAATAAGAATAATTTCAATAATGATAATGATAATGATAATGATAATAATAAAACTAAAAATAAAAATGATAACGATAATAATAATAGCAATGACAACAATAAGAACACTAATAGTAATGATGATAATAATAATGGTAATAAAAATAATGATAATGATAGTAATGATCTTGAACTTAACCCTTTCCCGACGGGGAAAATGAATAAAAAATGGGGGAAATTCTGAGTTCATTTTTTATATTTTGTGAACTGTCCCTGTTAGTGCTTAGCCATAAAGGATTTCACTTTTCCTTGAATTGGTGCAAAAAACGTATTTTTACTTGTGCTATAAATATAGATGGTGTTATTTTTATTATAAACATTATAATTACTAAAATGTTAGAAACCTTTGTAACAGCAAAATGAGATAACGTTAAATATTTTCGTAAATCAATGAAAAGGGTGAACGGGCGAGACAGGCAGTACTTGTAACTGGCTCATTGGTGATTTAGTACAAGTGTAGCCATCTACGTGTAAAAACAACAACAATAATAATAAAAAATAAATAAATAAATAAAAAATAAAAAATAAAATAATAATAATAATAATAATAATTATCATTATAATAATAATAATAGTTATAGTAATAGTAATAGTAAGAGCAAGAGTAATATAATAATAATAATAATAATAATAATAATAATAATAATAATAATAATAATGGTTAATGGTTAAAAGCAAAATAATGTGGTAGACACCTAGTTACATAGCACTACAGGATGGTATGGAGGAGGGGGGGGAAATAAATTAAATAAATAAAATAAATAAAATAAATAAATAAATAATAATAATAACAATAGTAATAGCAATAGTAGCAGTAATAATAATAATAATAATAATAATAATAATAATAATAATGATAATAATAATAATAATAATAATAATAATAATAATAATAATAACAATAATAATAACAATAATAATAATAATAATAATAATAACAATAATAATAACATAATTATTAAAAATAATAATAA